ACCAACAGAAACATCAGACAGCCCCAGCAGATGAACTCACCAGCAACAGTACTCCAACAGTGACTGAGAGAGGAAGGCTCACTGGATAGCTGCTACGTTTTATAGGTCAAACTGGCTTCTTTGTTAACTTGCCTTGTAGTTCATTAGCTAACATTAGCCTGTCATTTAGCATCTATATTGACTTGTTAACATTATCAGGCCAGTAATTAGCTATAATACTCAATCCGGTTGACTGAGATAAGCTTTGAACATCACTTGGCAGGGCAGGAGTCCACAACAAGATCCACGGAGACGTGTCACTTACTCACGGCAATAAGCACGTGCTGAGCCCCAGCGGTAAGGCTCTCAGTGTTTACTTGGAATCTGAGCCCTCTGTTCAAGCACCGAGATCCATTTCTTTCCACGAATGCTATGGGGTGTTGTTCTTCGATCAGCCACTTGAACAATGCTCCTGTTTCCACTCACACCACCAACTTGCCATCGCCCATTGTGCATAGTTTTTCTAGGTCTAGGGTTTAGCTAAAATAATACCAAATGAAATTGGCTTAGCTTAAACACACGCGAATGTAGCTTTTTACATTCTAAGCAAGCTACGTGTCGGTGATTCCCGCATACACCCGGCGATATGAAATTAAGTTTGGTCTTCCGATACAATCAAACAGATCGTGCTTTAAAGGAAACTCACCGTCAGCTGTGTTGGCTATACTGACGAATAACGCGAGTAAATTTAAACACTGGCGAGAGATGGCCACAAGGGGGAGTATCTGTGATTTCTAGCCCTGTCTGTTTCCTCTCCAAACCACCACTTCCTCAGTCAAGGAAACAAAAGCGGAAGTCGGCGCACTTAACAAGCTGTTGTTGTGAGACAGTCGTGAACAAGCACAAGGTAAGGTTAATGCTAACGCATATTTAACAATGAGCAGCTAATGTTGAGGTTTGAATGACGCTTGCGGGTGTTTTTCAGCAAATGGCGGAGGAGGAGGACGAGCCAGGCTTCGACGAAGAGTTGGAGGACGGCTCCGGCGGGGTGGATGTCGGCTACGGCAAGAGAAAGAGACTCTTCTCCAAGGAGCTCCGGTGCATGATGTACGGATTTGGAGATGACCAGAACCCTTACACGGAGTCTGTAGATATTCTGGAGGATCTGGTGATCGAGTTTATCACGGAAATGACCCACAAGGCCATGTCTATCGGGCGCCAGGGTCGCGTCCAGGTGGAGGACATCGTTTTCCTAATTCGCAAAGATCCCAGGAAGTTTGCTAGAGTCAAAGATCTGCTGACCATGAACGAGGAGCTGAAGAGAGCTCGGAAAGCTTTTGATGAAGCAAATTATGGCTCTTAAACTCACAACGGGACTGGTTGTTATTCCTCCCATGACCTTTGTTTCTTTTAATTTACTGTTCGTTTGCTCGTGAGTTCATTCAGTCTTCAGACTGCATGTTTGCGTCATGTGTGTGTTTATAGACAGCATAACAATAACAACGAATTTCAGTGTATATGCTTGATTTCAGACTTTTTGGTTATGTAAAATAAAGCAACTTGCCAATAGTTTTAAAATGACCAGGTCCTCATCGTCATTTCTTGTGCACAAACAACTTTTTTAAGCACCAGAACCAGAAAACTGTGAAATTTGTTTAAAAAGAACTCACAAATGTTAACAAATGAGTTTTTCAGTTGTTTAAAAAAACAACTTGCTTTCCTGTTTATAGGATTCTAGGCGTAAACATAACGAAGGGTTCAGCATTCAGAGGGACTTTGGTGAAGAGCTCAACAGTTTCACATTTCTTAGTGTATAATTTAAAGGACGGGGCTTTGTTTGCTTGTTTGGGTTTTTTTTTAGTGTAAATCACTGCACAGACTGCATTTGTGGTCACGTATCTACAAATGCAGATGAAACATCAACCAATCACAGAAAAAATTATTTGTGGAAGAAACTCTCCCTTTCCTTTCACTTGAACACATTAACCCTGAAAAGCCGGAACTATGAAATCATTCCCAGAAAAAAAAACATAATTTGAAACTGGAGTGGTTATTGCCTTGTCATGATTTTATAAAAATGAGAAATACCAATTTGCAATTTGAGTTTAAATTTGAATCCCATTTGCAAAATCTGGTAGTTTATTGTGGATTCAGTAAAAGGACTAGATGTTACAGTCCCTGATAATGCATTGCTTTAAATGGTGAAAATCTTGAGGGATGGCTGTTATAAGGAAGGGCAGCCCAGAAACTTTACCAGTGGCATACATTGTTGTGGCTGCCATTTTTCCTTCCTTGGTTAAGTTTAGGTATTAGAGATCTGATCTAGATTATCATATTAAACTTTGGGACACATCGTCAGTAGTGGACCTTGGATTCATCGGGTGTTTCGGCCATTATCACTAGACACCCTCATCCAAGAAGGCCCTGCCAGGGTTGATCAGGCTCGGAGTGTGTCACTGGTTTATGTTAAATTGTTATTGATCTTCTTTCTTCTGTTTAGTTTTCTACAGTTTATTTTCTTCTATCTATTCACTGGAACTTATTTAGGTTTTTCACTGGTGATGCAGAGGTCTTAAAATCTAACAAAACCTATATTTCAAATATTATCTGATTCTCTTGGCGTTACAGAGTTAGAGGACTCAGGCGAAGTGGAAATCCATGGACGTTAGGTCCTTTGTGGGCATTAGGTTCAAAAACACTGCTGGACGTCGCACAAGGATACAATATACAGTATTTTATAAATCAGACAGCCTTCGTTAATGAGCTCACCAGTAGCTAGAGGCGAAGCCCTTCAATAGTAACTATTACTATTGGAGGGAGAAAGCAGACAAGCAGCTGTCCAGTGATCTGAAGTTCAGCAGCTCCATTTTATAGGTCAGTGGAGCTTATTTCAGCAGTGCAATGCTAAAGCACTGTTATTTATAACAGCGTGTCTCTGTGGTGAATGTGTCCCTTTCATAACACTTTTGTTTTAAAGCACAGCATTGTGCTGTGTTACCAATCTGATACATGAAGAGTGGATCTGCACAAGAATTTAAGCATGATTTTATTTTGAATAAATAAATGAAATTTAAGTATTTAACTTAAACCCACAGATTGAATCCTCAAATATATGTGAAATATCTAAAGAAAAGGCTTTAGATAGATTCAGGTTGTGTAAATGACATTACACGAGGAGGGTTGCTCTTCATGTCCCACTTCTGGACACACTGTGGTAATGAAACAAAAAACACAATACAGTAAATTAAGCCACAAACTGCTGAGCAGCTGAAATCCTATGTCAAGCACGAATGAAAAACAAACCAAAAAAAAGAAGCCAATTTGCCTTGTAAAACTACACCAGCTGGTGTCATCATCTCCCAAACACTCACAGAGGGTTGTTAAACACAGAGGGAAACGTGTTCCAGTCCCAAGTTTTCAGGAGCAAGTTGCTGGTATTCAAAAATAGGAGTGTTCCAGATTTTTTTTATAGAAAAGTGTCATAAATATTTGTCAAAGCAAACAGTTTGCAACCCGCAATTAAACTTTATCAACACAGCCAGGAATACTAGACATGATGCCGACCTCATCTGTGCCCACATGCGTGATGAACTGAGGTTTTGCGACTGTCCGTAATGTCCAAATAATTCTGACCTCAGTCGAGGCTTTTGGTTATTTTAAAAGCAAAACTGGCTGTGGTTGGAACAAAACGGACAAAAAGAGGAAAAGAAACAGATTTTATTAATATTCCTCAAAACAAAATTATTACACAGACCATAAATATGACAGACCAACTACAAGTGAGCATGTGTTAGTTCATTTATTTCAAGCAAATTACTTCTTTGTACAGTGAAGTGGTTGAATTAATTGGTCTAAGCAGCAGGTAACAGGCTGCCCGTCTATCTAGACTACATCTAGATCAGAGCTTTACCAGCAGAGAGGGGGAGGGGGTCACTGATGACACGACATGCCATGCGTACTGCAAAAGCTGTGTGCAGTGGAAAAAAAAACCCTGTTGCAGCCTTGCTGTCCTGTTACAGGGCTGGGTGTCAGCACGGCATCTAGGGGATGTCTGCATTTACAAGCGAGCCAGGGAAAAGATGTTGCCCAGCCAGCGACCCCCCACTGGGTGCTCTAGCTGTCTGTTGAGGACTTCTATAAGGATGGAGAAGAAAGGCAGTGAACCAGGTGGACAAGAGGGAGAAGGAGGGAGTGGGTCAGAATGGGGGTTCACAGAAGGGTGGAGGAATGTCCATGAGTCTTTCTTGTTCTACTGCACATTCTCCATCATCTTGAGGAATTCTGATAAAGAAAAGAGAAATTTGACAGCATTACATTTTACATCCATTTCTTTATTTACTTGAATAAACTGTAAAGGAACAGGTAGTAGTTCAGCTCAAGCTTTGATTTTAAGATGATGACAGGAGTGTAGGAACTGTACAACACAGCCTAGTAGGCAACAATATGGTCCCTAAAGTCTGACTGTAAAACCTGATATGCCATAGAACAAGACTGATACAGCTTATTGGTACTCTAGCAAAGCTGCAGCCAATAAACAGGATTTTTTCCCCCTCATGCACTCTCTACCTCCTTCATAGAGACTCCTCAAGGTTCAATAATAAGTGAGCTGACAGCTTCATCATTTTCATTTGACACATACCGTCAAAGTCCAGCATGCCGTCGCTGTTCTTGTCTCCATCCTTCAGCAGCTCATCGATCTCCTCCTCTGAGATGGCCTCGCCGGTGCTGCGGATGATAAGGGCAAACTCATCTCTGTCGATGTAACCGTCGCCGTTCCTGCGCACACGACAACAACAAAATGTGCGTGAATGTAAAGGTCGAGTAAAGGTGATGTAGCAACAAAAAAAACAAAACACACACACACACACACACACACACACACACACACACACACACA